AATTTTTTTCATTCGGCGCGCCATAGCCATGAGAGCCTGGGCATCCCACAGAGGAGCAGCTGGAGATCAGGTCCACCAAAGCAGAGGCAGCATACGTGCATTCACCGAGCAGGCTTTTATTTTGAAAGCTCCTCTCATGATGTCTGTGTACTAACCTGCTCCTGCACACACACACACACACACACACACACACTCCCACCTCCTGCTGCTGAAGGAGAAGCTGCTGCAGCGACTGTGCTGCAGCAGAAGCGACTGCCTGGCTGCTGCGAGCTGAAAGCATCTCCATCTTCTCCACCTTCTTCTCTCACATCGGTTTGACGTTCAGGCAGGACCTCCTGGACCTGCTGCAGACCCACACTGAGCCTCAGCCTGCTGCTGGCCATGGACTGAAACCAGGTGAGCTCCTCCTGAGGCGAGGAAGGCAGTTCGGTGTGGGACCTGCTGCTGCTGTGTCCTGAGTGGGTGTGTCACGGCGTCCTTCCCTTTGTCTCTCTGCGATGCTCATGGTGGGTTCTGCTGGAGCTCAGCTGCTCTCCTCGGTTCCTCTCAGGCTTCATTTCCAGGTTCCTGGACCTGCAGCTCATCTGGAGGAAGGCTTCTAGAAAATGCTGGAAGCAGCCAGAGGTCTGGCGTCTGTCCCAGAGGAGACAGAGATGGAAGCTGATGTCTGGGTTCGGTTCCGATCCGATAAAAGATCCAGTTCTGGAGCAGGAATCACTCAGACCAGCTTCCATCTACTGGACCTGATGGGATGATCAGAACCGCAGGGAGACAAATTAACTCAATGTGTCACATTTAAAGCTTTTTCATTATTATTAATTTTATTTTAGTGTTTGTTATTTAAATTTTCCTTTTATTTCTATTGTTCACTCAGAAATAGAAACGTTTTCTACTTTTATTTAAATAATTACAGAAATTAGGATCCAATTTCTCAGAAAATTATTTTTATTTATTAAAACTTTCAAATCAAAAGTTACAAACTGTGATTTTAGTTTTATTTTGAATTGTCTTCAGATTTGATAAAAAGTGTGAAAAGTTTATAGTAAGACTGGACCTGATCCTGGTCCTCCATCAGAACCTGAAACCGGGTCGGGTTGAAATTCTGTTGGATCAGAACAAACCAAACGGATTCTGTTTACATGGGAGGAACCAGAAGTAAAGATCGGACCTTCTCTGAACAAACCAGTCCCAGTGCTGTTCTGGTTCTTCACTGGGTCTCCGTCTGAATCGACCAATCAGAGCAGCACATTATCGCTTCCTGCTCTTAAGCTCCACCCATTTTTTGGGGAAAAGGGGAGGGGGACAAACATCAGTTCCTTTTCTCAGGCCTGGATCCGATTTTAATCCAGAACCTTCTCTGGAGACCAGATGTGCATCAGAACCGCAGGGTCCAGGAAAATGTTCCTGATCCAGACGGTGAAACCGGGCCGTTTGGTTCTGAGGGACCAGAACCTCTGAAATCCAGTGAGCAGAAGGACGTCAGCTGCAGGAGAACCTTCTGATGATGTCACAGATGACCCCTGAGTTCCGGTTCTGATCCAGGATCAGCAGGTATGACTCCTTTGGAGCAACTATTGTTCAGAACATGAACGGGTCGGTGAAGAACCACATCTGGACCGGGCCTCAGCAGCAGCGCAAAGCTGGTACTGGACCGCCTGGACCCGGATTCCAGGCAGACCCGATCAGCCCGGATCTGGATCAGGTTGCATCCTTGACCCGATAAGGATTTTATCTCCTCCATCAGAACCTTCCACCGACAGAACATCCCTTTGGGTCGGGTTCCAGAACCCTGAGCCTCCATCTGGTTCTGGTGGGCCTTCATGTCACCAGAGAGGATCGATGCAGGAGGCTGGGAATCAAACTCTGATCCGATTCATCGGAACCAAACAGAACCGGCACTGCTGCTGCAGAGCTAAAACCATCGGCTGGACTTCATGTTTGCCTCCTCGGTGGTTCTGACGGGTCCGATCTGTTAATCCTCGGACTGAAGCAGGAACAGCAGGTTAATTGCTCTGGGAGTCCTCGGTTCTGTCAGCGTGGAAAACATCATCATTCAAGCTTCCAGAATGTTCTGACCCAGAAGTTATCTGTTAGGTTTGAAGCAGAACCAATAAAGTTCTGAGTTCTACTGATTAAAGTCCAGTTCTCCATCTGAGAGCCGTCAAAGGTTCTATTGAAAGTGGACCTACAGGTTCTGGTAGTTAGCTGATGGTTCTGAGAGAATCGGGGGAGGGGTTCTGCTCCCTAGCGGTCAGTGAGTTTATGGACGGTTCTGAAGAGTCCAGATGGGTCAGAATGATGCATGAAACCGGGCCTCAGATGAGGTCCGATGAACATTTAAAGGGCCTCCTAAATCCTGCAGGTGTTAAGAACCAGACGGGTCCAACACATCTGAAGCTGCTGAGGATCAGAACCGATATCGGTGAAGATCCAGGTCAGGATCCAGGTCAGGATCCAGGTCAGGATCCAGCTTGGAAAAGTCCAGTCTAGGCTGCTGGATGTGAAGTTTTCATCTCAGAGGCTCCTTCAGCTCTAACTGGTGAGGAGCAGAGAGGTTCATATCCTGAAGCTCCTTTGATCCGTCCCACTGGGTGGGCCATGAAGGTCACATGGTGCTTTCAATGGTCATGGTTATTTCAATGAAATAAGGATTCAAACAGACCCAGACATAGCTGGGTTATAGAAAGCAGAGCCGTGTTACCGGATTGCGTAAGAGTGAAACTCAGAGCTGAGGCAGGATCAATGCGAAGCCGTTTACTAACAACGCTCCGATCATTTTAACGTTATTTTATCACAATGTCTAAGGCCGAAAAAAATAATACAGCTCAGAAAAGACACTGGGGCTTATTTTAGCTCTAAAAGCAGCAGTTTCACTGTTTTTTATAGATTTCTATTTTATTTTAGGTTTATAAATGTTACATTTTGTTATATACACTGATTGTGAAAGAAAAGTGGAAAATACTTGCTTTATAAATGTTTGTGGCCATAAAAATGCTTCAGTGTTATTCTGTGGGTCAAATAGTTGAGTAAAAGCATTTAGCAAAACTTAAAAACATAAAAAAATATAAAAAAGTTCAAACCCCTGCAGCTCTGGAACTGTCGTAGATAGAAGTCTGACATTTTCTGCAGTTTTGGTCGACATGATGTAATAAAATGAGACCTGCCTTTTCTCATGCATGTCTTTATTACTGCTGTTCAAAAAAGATTTTCAAGAATAAAAAAACTTTGAGTCATGATGCAGCTTGGGCTGAGCTTTACTCACCCAATGTTCTAGTTTTTAAATGATGTATCACAGGTAATTTGGGTTTACAGTTCCTCAGTTATTCGTTTTTCCACCTGGTTATGCAAACAGGCGAGGATTAGTTCAAATTAGGTGGATGTTAGTTAAAGCCACTTGACTTCCTCTTCACAGCATTCCCACTTCATCCTTTCTCAACATTATATTCCCTATCTTCCATTTTTAATAAAATAAGCAGGTCTTTGCCGTGCTCCTTCTCTGTCTGGATCTTATGAGCGAATCCGGCAGCGACCCGATGTCGCCAACTTTTTCAAAATCAGACCATTAACCTCCCTGCATTCACCATCAGCTTCACTCCGCTTTGCTTCGCTCTAGATCTGCACTCTACTCAGAGATACCGGGAATCTTTTGCTGCAGCTGCGAAATTCGCGTTTGGTGTGAAGATACTTTAAGGACGCCGACCAGTCAGGGAAAAAAATCTTGACGGACACACCTAAAAAAAACCAGAATTAGTTTAGAAAAACAATTGAAAGACAGAAAAAAGGACATTTTTACTCCTCCTCCTCTGAAGAGTATTAAGGACATACAGACTTCCATAAACACATGAACCATAAAGCTTCTCTGTTTGCTGTTTTGATTAAACTTCGGTCTGTCTGATCGGGTGTTGATATATTTGTTGTTTTCTTAGGTGCTGCCATTAAAGCCAGATGACTGATTCCATCTTGAATTCTTTCCAGAACGAGCCTTGCCTTCAGCCTGTCCTCACCAGACCCCCGTTTGACCAGCCCAATGGCCACCAGTCCCAGTGGTCCCCCACAATCCAGCTCCATGGAGGAGACCCATCAGGAGGAGCAGCCAACGAGCAAACAGCCAGACAAAGAGGCTTTCCCGCCTGCTGCAACTCCTCAAGCATCCAGCGAGGAGCAGCAAACAGCTACGGCAACTACAGAAGCCCCAGAGGTCAGACAGATAGAAAAAGAAAAATCAATCGACCACCTGACGGTGATCAGTGAGAGCACAGAGACCAGTAAGTCCTCCTCTGGTCCACAGAAACATTTGATTAGTAACGAGTAAAGAAGCTCCGCTGAAAAGGAAACCTCAGATTGATTCACTTTGCTGGTCTGACTTTTCAGCAATTAGTCCGTCTGTTTGAAGGATTGCCATCGATTCCAGACTGCAGCTCTTTATTAAGAAGAGCTGTTGTTCATGTGATGTTATTCTAATGGCTTTCTGTTTAACGCCACACATGAACAAGGAATCTGAAAAACATGCATATATTAGGAACGTAAGCAATTCCCGTTTTGATTTGTCTTGGCAACTTTCAAATAGGAGTCTGAAATATTCACTGCATGCCATGAAATTTAATTACTCTCCATCTTAATCAAACCCCTATCAGATGTTTAACCGTTCATATGATATTTTTTTTTAGTCTATTTGGGGGCTTGTCCGGGATCCTGAGAATGTAAATTATACAATTTAGGGAACATCAAAGATTTTATCCACTGAAGGACAGAATCAATCAATATTTTTTTTTGCAAGCTGCCCTCAGACAGGATTGGATGTGATGCAGATCAATTAATTGAATTGTTTTAATATTCTCATGTAAATTATTGTGACTGCTTTTCTAACAGGGTTATTAGTGTCATTGTCCATCAAATCTGTCAAAACATTAAAAATTTGTTACTTCTTTTCTTACCTTCAAATAAGTGTCTGAAACATGTTCACTGCATGTTATCTAGCTTAAAGAATTAACCATAAAATGTTTACACTTTACAAATAAACTCATTTTAAATATATTTTGGGGGGTTGTCCGGGATCCTGAAAACTTGAATTATACATGTTCGGACAAGAACAGGAACCAATGATAGCAGAGACTGACTCTAAAGGCTGGACAACAGAATGATAAAGGGACCGTCGTTTGAGTCCAGGACTATTTAATAAATTTATTTTTTAAATCATTCAGTGAAAAATTACGTCTGACATTCATTGGTTTCATTTTCAAAGAATTTCTATGCATTTTTGCTTTTGTCAGATTTAGGTATTTCTGTAATCATTGAGTGTTTTTCTTTCATTTAACAATAGAGAGCAACTATTTTGTGTAGAAAACAGCATAAATATAATCTAGATCATTAATATCTACTTTTTCCTGCATCTAGTCAAAAAGAAAAACATGGAAGAGCTCCAGTGACAGGCATCCACCATCCTCCAGGTTACCATGGAAACTAGCATTAACTATGCAGAGGAGTTAGAGGGAGCTGCACAGCAGGAGGAAGCAGTGAATTTAAAACCTTTTTATTCGGTTCTATCAGAATAAACTATGAAGGAGGGACATGATTCCTGCAAAAAGTCCCACTGCTTCTCCAGGGGACTGTTTGTTTACATTAGCATTTCACGAGATAAAAAAAATAAAGTCTTAAGCATGCTGCGGTGGTGCAGTGGTTAGCGTGCACGACCGAGGTACAGAGGCCTTAGTCCTCGACGTGGCCAGCCCACGTTCCATTCCATCCTTTGCTGCATGTCCCCCCCTGTGCCCCCCATTCAGAGTAAAAATGATGAGCCAATAGTGCCATAAAAAAGAATGTATAGAAATTGCAATCCTGACTTCATCGGTTTCCTGTCAAAGTCTTGTTCTTTGGTCAAAACTACATCAAATCCTGAAAATTTGAGATTAGCCTTTAATGCTAACTGGTTTTTATTTTCTCTCATCATTTCTTACTTCCAGGTAACGGCGTCACTCCTGTGAGGAGTAAAGCGTCCCCCGTAGTGTCCTCTGTGTCGCCCAAGTTTCACGTTAAACCAGGCAGCCATCTTAATGGCCGGCCCAGCTTGGGCAGCCGGTCCGGCTCGTTGGCGATGGGCTCCCCGAGGCCCTCGCTGACGCGCCAGCCCAGTGCCATCACAGAGGTCACTGGGAACGGATCCAAACCCAGGGACTACCTGTTCTTCGCCATCCTGTCCTGTTTCTGCCCCCTGGTGCCAATTAACATCGTAGCGCTCACCTTCTCCTTGATGGTACGTCGTCCAACCCTTTCCTGGATCAAAGGAATATCTGGTCATCACCTCCATAATGTTTTCCTGTTCTCCTTCAGTCTAGGAACAGCCTGCAACAGGGCAATGTGGACGGAGCTCGCCGTTTGGGTCGCAATGCCTTGGTGCTGTCGGTTGTCTCCATTTTAGGAGGGATTGCTATCATTACTGCAGCAATTGCCTTCAACTGGGGACGTAAGTATGAACGGACGTTTAATGGCCTGAAACACAGGAGCCAAAGGAGTTTCTGCAAACATCACTGCCAGCTCTCCTCTCTCTGTCTGCAGGGATTTTGAAATCCTGATCCGATGTTTCTGCACAGAGAGTCGATGATCAGAACCACATCCAAACACGGCACGGTTCGCCCCCCCGTCTCTGAAGCACCATCATTTCCACCCATCGCCACCGGATGGAAACACCGCCGTTCTTCTCTTCCCGTCTCTTTTATTTCTGCACGACATTGAGCATGATCTGCCTGACGCTCTACCTCCAACAGAAGCAGCCGCCTCTGTCCCAACGCACCGCCTGACAGGAGCAGGGCGACGGATGGCTGCTTACTGACTGGTTTCTCTCCCGTCATGAAATCAGGCGTCTCTCTTTGGAAACGATACATTATTCAGACGGTGAAAGAAGGAGGCCGGTGGATTTCACGCTCTGATGCCAAAAAACAACAATCTGGGAGACGAAGCTGCTATGAAACTTTTACTGTGAAGCAAAAACTGACAAACATAACTGGATTAGTCAGAAGGTCACTGGAGGTCACAGGTTCTTTATTTCTCACCTTTCTCTGAACCAACTATCCGGTTTGCTTCTTGCGTTTTGGCTCCGGTTGGTTACTAGAACAAGGTCAGTCAGACGCCATGTTGAATTGGACGGTCCTCTGGGTGTTCAGTCGGTCACATCATCAGAACTCAGGTAATCCATGTGAAGCTAATTTTACACCCTGCTAATTCAACGTTTCTTATGAGCGGACACCCGGGTAGGACAAAATGGACGTCTCCCCTCAGACTTAGGGAGGAGTTAGAGTCAAGGTGTTGCTCTGGTCTTTGGTGAGGAAGAAGGACTGAAAGCTGAAGCTCTAGATGAACCGCTCATCCGCGGTCCGGATAGACGGACCTTAGATGGAAGAACTAATCATGGATCTATGAGCTGATATTTGCTTCTTCTGCAGAGTGGCTGGACTCTGACTGAGGGATAAGGAGAGGAGCTCCACCATCCTCCTGGAGGAGCTCCTCCTCTAAAGCATTGACTCCTCCCTCTGGGGCCACATCCCACAGAGGCAGACCCAGAACTCTGTAGATCCCAGGATCTCCTTTGGATCCTGGGAAGGAACTGGACACACTAGATCTGTTGCGTCTTGCAGAGCAGAAAGATTCAGGTTATCATCAACATTCAGCTGGAACATCTCCTACCTGATGGCCTCCAGCCCTGATAAAGCATCCCTCTAAAGTGACTCTGAGTCCAAATTTAGCACCATAACATGACAGAAAATCAATTTTTCTCCTTAGATTTGACTCAAACTAAATGAATGTCTAATCATCTGCTATGATGAGGAAACTCTGACTGATTAAGGTCTACATTCATCTCCTTCCAGTGATGCTTCTGGTTTCAAACCCTCAGCTTTGTCTTCTGAGCCGGATGTTTGCAGTCAGCTGCAGTAGCGACTGATCCCAGGTCAGCCTCACATTCAGCCATATTTAATGAATCTGTCTGACCGCAGCGTCTTTGCTTACTGGGCCTGCAGTGATGGCTCAGATGATTCTATTCATTAGGGAGCTAAGGTTACGTCTACTCTGCATCTCTGGGTGTTTCTGGCTCTGATCGTGGATCCGTTGCTCCTCCTGATTTCTCTGATCTGCTTTCCTGAGTTTAGCTTCGTTTCGCCTCAGAAGCAGTCGACTCTTTTTTCCTCTCCCTGCAGGAAGCTTTCCGCACCGAGCTGCTTCCAGCGGGAGAACCGCAGGTTCACCATGAAGACGTGTCCGTTTGGGTCTGAACCACAACTTATTACCAACAGTCATATAAGTTCATACTTATATCACATCAGCAGCGACCTGTCAGCTGAATGTTAGGACATCAGGAAGGTTCTGTGTCGTGTGTGGGATCCCTGTTAGAGCTACCAGGCTTTTAGGTGTAAAAGGTCTTTCCTTTTCACCCCTTCTGCTTCATGTAGAACTGCTTCCAGTTTGCACAATGAACTCACACCTGGCTGGACAGGTAGCTGCACGAAGGATTTATAGCCCCACAGTGAATGAAATGTCTGTGATGATGCTGCAGCCCTGCAGGGCTTCTGGTGCCAAACTCTGAAATCAAACCTGGTTATTTAGTAATTGGAAATAAGGAGCATTTTCAGTGGCTTCATGGTGTTCCGGAACATTGACCTCTGTGCATGCTAATTAACTCTTTGGAATGAACCCAGATGAACTGAGCTGTACCAGAACCAGAATCTCCAATAACCTGTGCATGTTTACATCCTTTACATATGACGGTACTTTCACTCAGCAGCACGGCTGCCTGAGAAACACTGTAAATAGATGAAAGTTCTCCTCGTCCTCGCTGTGGTTCTGTGTGGCAGGTTTTGGCAGCGATGGTTGAGCTCAGGTTGTCCTGTTCAACACTGAAACAACACGATGGCCTCTTCGCCGCCAGAGGAAGGAAAAAAACAGGTTTTCTAGACATATTTCGGTGAAGGGTGTCTGGATTGGGTCCCGGTTCCTTTGTTCCTTTTGGTTCCTGAAGTCCACCATAAAAACCTACTGTTTTGTTCCCTTAGAACCTGCGACCATTAGCAGGAAAGAGCCAATCCTCATGGCTCTTGATGTTCTCTAGGAACCCTTCTCTGGTCATAGCCACTATGGGTATCTGTGATTCCAGTATAGGTCTCTATCGCCCCATTTCCACTCCCCTCTGAAACCGATCCTTGCCGAGCTTGGTTCCTTATGTCCGTTTACGCACCACGCTAGCACGGTTCCTCGCCTCCTAGTGGCGATCTACGGTACTACTGCTCTCTAGAGGGAAACAAGCGAACCAACATGGCGGCGCCCGTAACATTCAGGAAGTTTGCAGAGAGTCAGGCGAAGAAGGCAGCCTTTGGTGAAATTACTTGACAGAGTCGGTTTTTGGGAAGTGGATACGACAAACGATCGTCTAATCAGAGCTTCCAGACGCAGGAAACAATGACAGACGTTGAGGTTAATCACACTGCTGAGCTGAATCATCACTGGAAATCGTGCGGCGTGGTAGGGAAGCTAGGATCTTTAGGAATGATTACGGAGGCTGACTGTAAGGAGATGAGGCGGTCTGCTCGTTGAGAACCGAGCCAGTTGTGTCCGGTCCGGTTCAGTTCTCCGTACCGTTTAGACTCAACAGTTGTCTTGGTTACCGTGTCTAAAGGGTATTGTAAATGGGGCTTATATGTGAAATAGGGCATACCTGCCATGGGCGTTTCCCACCAATGAGAGGGCTCTTTGTGGTTTCCATCAGCTACCATGGCTCTAAGACCCATATCCTCATTAAAGATCTCCTCCACCATGGGTGCAAAGATCTCTCCAGACTTGGTACATGCCTCTGTGTTCTCAAGATCATCCAGAACAAACCCACCTCAGTCTCATTATGAAAAGGAGGTCTGCCTACCTGCTATTTTTCCTTTTGTACCCAGCAGGTCAGTCTACAGACCCTCCATGGGGGTGTTTACTCTCACAGGGATTCCCTGGTCATTACGTTCTGCTTTCTGGGAAGTGATGGTCTAGTGGTTAGAGTCGTGTGCTTGTGCTCTGAGAAGGTTGGAAGTACCTGGTTTGAGCCCCACAGACTGACACTCTGGGTCCCTGAGCAAGACCCTTAAACCCACACTGCTCCCTGAGCACCGCACAATGGCAACCCACTGCTCCCCAAGGGAATGGGTTAAATGCAGAGAGTGAATTTCCCCAATGAGGGACAATAAAGGGATTTACATTTTGTTTCATTTCATGGTAAAGCAAGTAGGTCCTAGTGAAATTGGTGAGTTTGGTTCTCTCTGTATTCACCATTGAGGTCTTTAGACTCACAGAAGGCCCATTTCCTCAACATGTTGGTACAAAGACCACAGGAGGACTCTTAGCACCATTTATTGATCTTTGCACAATGCCATGGGAGATCTATGATGTCATGGTCGCCACTAGACGCCACTTCATCTATCTAAGGAATCTTTTTGGTCTCTTTAGACGTGGAAGTCTTCTTACATCCAGGGATCTGTTTGAACCCTCGTTGAAATGTCCCTCTGGACGATGCTGTAGCAGATATCACTTGTCTGGGATGGATGTCTCTGGGTAAAGGTGGTGGAGGAACAAAGGAACCTGGACTATCTGAACCTGAAATTAGAAACATGTCGCATTTTGACGTATCGCCTTCAGCTCACTCACGCCGCTGCTCGACCCTCTCCTGTCCCGATTGTAGCATGCCTCTATACTAACCACATTATGCAAGTAAAGATGAAAATGTTCTGTTTGGCTCAGTCTGGATGCTTTGTTTTAACCGATTGTTCTGTGCTCTGAACTTTTTGCTTCTGCTACCTCTCAGGTTCTTCTGCTGTATCTGGACCACATTTTAGAAACTGACAGTTAAATCTGTTGTTTCTCTTTACTGCTTCGATGCTAACATTGTGTCTGTAACATGACCACATTCATATCACTACCTGCACTTATTTCATGCTGTTCTTCTCTGGGTCACCTGGAAGAAGTGTGTAAATAGAAAAACTTTCCAAGCATCAGTTTATTTTATTTTGTTGAATTAGAAATGAAAAGTCCTGAAGGAGATTTAATAGCGTTGGTGATTGATTAGTGAAGGAAACGCTGTGAAATCAGTAGCGACATGGATTCCTAACTGCATGTTTTGGTCCGTTGAACATCAGTCCCCTCTAGGCTATGGAAACATCCCATAATGAATGGAAACCAGTTCCTATCCTGATCCAGCAGTCGGTTGGTGGTGATTATTTCACTCTGAACATAACAGGTGGCTGTTAGTTAACCCCAGCTTTACACGGGGGGTCCTGGTTGGTTCCAGGTCCAAATCATGGATGCTGGTTGGTTCCAGGAGCCAAATCATGGATGCTGGTTGGTTCCAGGTCCAAATCAAGGAAGCTGGTTGGTTCCAGGTCCAAATCATGGATGCTGGTTGGTTCCAGGAGCCAAATCATGGATGCTGGTTGGTTCCAGGTCCAAATCATGGAGGCTGGTTGGTTCCAGGTCCAAAACAAGGAAGCTGGTTGGTTCCAGGTCCAGTTGGTGTAAAACCAGAACCTATCAGCTATCCACTGATAGGTTCTGGTTCTTAGGTCGGAGTATCGGGGCCCAGATAGAAACCTTCGAAGGGAATGAAGTCATTGTAGCAGAACCCATTTCAGAAACAAAGCTTCCAGCTCAAAGTCCTTAAAACAATTGTTTCAAAGTTCAAACTGATGATCATTTGATGCTAAAGGACTTAATTTTTCCTTATTTATTAAACTGATGCCAAAGTATAACCTCATAAGATGCTCCACATTCTTCGTTTAGGGAAGAAAGAGCTGCTTCAGTTTTCATAAAATAAAACTTTATTCTCGTATAAAAAGAAGAAGCCTCCAGCCTGGCCCTAATCCTCCGTCTAACTGGTGAAATAAACAATAATTGATTTTTGACATTAGATGCTTTCCAGGCGTATTTCAGCAGAACTTCTTTCCAGGCGTATTTCAGCAGAACTTCTCTCCCGCCGTCGTACACTCAGACTCCTCATAAGACACGGATCTACCCAGTATATGGATCCGGAGCCGCTGTGGGAGCAGAACCGGGTCATGTTGGGACTGTGACTCTGATCTGTTGGGCCTCATGTTGATTGGCTGATGCCCGCGCTCTGACCCGTGTTCATCAGCGGAGCCGTTTCCAGCAGGTTGGTACCAACCCCAACCCCGGCTTTGGGCTGGTTCCTGTTCTGACCCTTTAGGACGGAGTCCTGTAGAAACTGGTTCCTGTATTCAGTCGGTTCTGAATCAGCTGCAGATTCTGAGGTGACTTGGATCAAGATGGAGGATTTGTTGAAGTTTGAGGTTTAAATGTTAATTCAAGCAAAGCATTACTGAGGATGAGGTTTCTATGGGAACCAAGCTCCCATCTCCTGAAGGCCTTTTCATTTCAAACTGCTGACTGATGCCAGATTATTTATTCTGATCTCTGTAAATGTTTCTCTGCTGGTTTTGTATCTAATCTCCAGTTTGTACCGCCCAGTATAACCAGCCTCCCCCAGCAGTGAGGGGGGAGGACGATGCAAGCATGAACCACGGTCTCTGTCTGTGCATGCCTTAGCCTGACTGCTGAATGAGAACGAATGGGTGTTCACTTTAATCCAGACATTGGTGTCTCCATTGCTGCCGAGTATCTGATCATGTTTGAAGAGAATAAATCCTGGTTCAATATGAGCTGCTCTCAGTCTCCAGGCTCCTTTCTTTGATCAGAGACGTTTCAGTCTGACCAGCGGCGTCTGTTCATGAATGTTCACTAGTGACTGAACAGGTGGAAAAAATAGTGAACAGCCGGGACGCTTTTTTCCAGTCAGGAGACTCGAACAAACCGCTACACTTCATTGAGTCACACGCTGATGGTGGTGCGCTCCGCTGTAGCCGCCGCTGCCCTGGGGCAGACAGACCTAAGGCTGCCATAGACTCCTGCAGCCAACTGAGAATCGCTTTGTTTATCATAGGAACCTTTTTAAAATCCCAACATGTCGGATCTAGAGGTCACATGGTCATAGACGGGACAGATGGACCCAGTATTCAAGGTGAGACAACCAGTAGGAAATTCCAAAACGTTTATTAAGACTAACAGAACAGAACAGAAGCTGTGGACCTGCGGCTGCAGGAAGGGGGCGGGGCAATCATGGCCACTCTGCTTTAGGGAGAAACAGGTAAGCGACCACGATCATCTGAGCAGGAGAGGATTATCAGAGTGAGTCACTTACCTGGTCTAACAGTTCAGTCCATGCTCTCCATCATAGCTGACGCTCTGCCAACGAGAGCCGCCCAGAGCGTCCCAGTGAGCAGGCGGGACTGGGATTCAGATCAGACTGGAGTAATTCTGTAATCCGGTCAGGGGTCCTGATCCACTCAGGAACAGACAGATCCAGGTTCCAGGAATCATCAGAGAGTGAAGGCAGGTTTAGAGTCCAGTGCATCAATCATCCAGCTCAGACAGAAGGAGGCAGAATCCAGCAGGAGTCCAACCGCGGTTCAGGTGAACAGATCAGGCAGGGACAGAAAGGGCCGGTGGATGAGAGGTAACGGAACCAGGAAATCAGAACCACAAGGAGGCGCTCTCACCACTGGTCAGGGAACAACTCGCCTGAGGACACTGGCTAGAGAATAAACTCCTCACTGGAACATGAATCTTGGAGATAAATATTACATTAACAAAACTGACAGATGAGACACGAACAGAAAGCAATGATCTGCCCTGATAGCTGGAACTGAGCCCAATATGAGGGAAACCGGCAGTTGGACGAGATGAGAGATGATTGGGAGCTGGGCGGAGTTAAGCAGGTGAAAGTAATTAAGGTGAGCTATCAGGGCAGATCATGACACGCATGGCTGCAAGTTAAATCCTGAATACAGAAAAGTTCAAATCAATCCTCTGGACTTTGGTTCCAAGTTTGAAGACGTTTCTCTTCCATCCAGGAAGATTTTTCAATTCAAAATGTCAGAAATAGCGTTTAGTTCCAGGTTTTATCCAGCAGCCCAACAAAGCCTGGTTTTAGTTTAGAAAACATGCAAATAGAAACGGATGAACGGGTCCCCCCCTTTGGAATGGGGGTCGTTTGGCTTCTTTGTTAGCCTGCAATGCCCCATACCTGTCTATGTCTCTGAAAGGGGGGTCGTTAGAGGGAGTTGTTGGCCTGGCTAAATAGGAGAGGTCTTCTGTTCTCCTGTAAAGGGGTGGGGGTTGTGATGATAGCGGGAAGGAAGCGAAACGTCTTCAATCTTGGAAACAAAGTCCAGTAGATTGTTTTTTAACTTTGTTAAAAT